TTCTTTCCCTAAAACCTTCAATGGCGTCTCATTCCTTTAAGATAAAGGCTCTGCTTTCGAAGGGCTTACAGAGTCTTGCACTGTGAGCCTTGGTTAACCCTTCATTGTTGAATTATTTGTCCCTAAACTTAGAACGTACTCACCGATATCAACTCTTCATTTTGCCACCCTATAAGATTCAGCTTATAAGGTGGCTTCTGGGATGACATCCCTTGCCCCCAATATACACTCTCAGAGTTGTCCTCTGTCTTTTGTGTCTTTCAGGACTGTGAAGGGGAAGATGGATGCCTTGCTTTGAATTGCTAAACTAACTATGTACTTCAATAGAGCAGATACTTGGTGCAGAGGAACTTGACTTTCTCAGCATTAATGGACTGGAAATAGTTCTAGGGTGTGAAGGAATGAGCACTTACAAAAGATGCTGGGGTGAAAACTTTTATAAAGAAGCTCCCTGGCTCACCTTTAAATTCCTCTCAACTTAAAAACCTCTGCCAGCCATTTCCCGTGAATCATTTGGACAGATGCACTAATAATGATCATTTAGAGTGAGACTCTGGTGTCAGCGCCTCATTCACACTTCAAAAACCGTGTATTCAGAGGCACACAAAAGGGGTGTAATTACCATTTCAGAAGAATATGTTAATTTGATGCAATGCATTACTGCTCTGACAGCTTTCAGCCCTATGCACCAACTAGTTGTATTTTTTTTTAAAAAATACATTTTTCCTTCCCGCTCAAAATATAAGGAGTAAGCAAAGGCAAATGGACGAGGGTCCTGGCGTTGGGGACTGGACCAGGAGGGGGAAGCTGGGAGCTCAGCATGTTGGGCAATGAGCACTTGCTCAGACTTCACTTTGCTAACATAGATAACCCCAGTCTGTCTGGGAGGCTGCCTCAGTTTACAGAGATCACTAAGGTAGATGAGGTGAGACGGTCTTCCACTCGTGGCCCTCTGCTTCAGGAAGATTGGCCTAGCCTGTCCAGGCCGGAGCTGGAGTACAAGGGTTGGGTTCCTGAAGCTCCTAAGACCATTTCCTCCATGGTCTCTTTATAAAGTTTCCCCTACACCCTGGCCTCAGGGGACTCAAGGGTCCTCTCTAAGCCAAGAGGACATGAGGTTTGCCTAAGCTGTGGATGATTCCTGTCTAGATGCCTGTATTAGCTTTGAATTGATTTGATGCAATACCTGAAAACTGGGTCAGTCACAGGAATAGGAGGAAAGGGGACGGGAGGGGAGGAGTGCATGCTTTCAGTTCACAATTGTAGAGGCTGGAAATCCAAGCTTAAGTGGCATAATCAGTTCAGCTTCTGGGAGGGCCCTCCTGGCTGGAACCCCATATGGTGGACAGTAGTGTGGAGTCATTGCATAAAAGGAGAGATCTCATGGCAAAACTGGAAGCCAGAGGGGCTGATCATAAGCCTTGACAAAAACTCTCTTCTTATGGTTTGAATGTGTTCCCAAAGGCCTTGTGCTGAAGGCTTGAATGTTAGCTGGTGCCATTATTGGGGTATAGTAAAACCTCAAGGAAGTAGGTCACTGGGGGACTGCCCTTCTAACACCCTATTTCTGCCTTGTCAGAGGTCTAAAAGCAATGGAGCTAGGTGCCCATGGACTGAAGCCTCTGAAATGGTGAGACACAATAAATCTTTCCCCCATCTCAGTTGCCTTTCCCAGGGATTCTTTTCTGTGACAGAAAGTGATTAACACTTTCTTAGGAGAATGAACCAGCTTCCTGAGAGAGCGCTGTATCAATTTCCCCAGAGAGTGATATCTTCAATGTCACTTCCCATTAGTGTCTACCTCTTACAGATTCAGCCACCTTTCGCGTTGCCACCTGGGGAGTAGACTTCCAATGCATGAATCCCTGCAGGACACACTCACCCTTAACAGCCAGCCCTTTTCCTACTCCAAGGAGACACTGTAAGAATGAGATAGGAAGACCGAGATAAAATGCTTACCTTAGTAAAAATGTTTAACAAATGGTGCTTCTTCCTTCTTCCGGTTATTATCTTATTATCCTATATTATAATCTCATTATCCTATATTATCATCTCATTATCCTAGGGAGTAAACTGATTACCAGCAATTATCAGAAGGAGTGATAAAGTGACCTAAGCAGTAAGAAACCACCTATAGGCAGGGGAGGCTGTGCTTCTGCTATTTCAGGAGAGGGGGCACATCTATTTATGGAGAGGATGGATGTTCAGTTTACAGAGTTTCCAAACTCCTAGGCGGGGGACGGAGTTGCTCAGAAAATGGAGGCCATTCCCCACAACTTCCAAGTGCCAAGGTGATCCAGAAGTATGGGAAGATGTCTCATCCCCAGCCCAACGGCTTCAGGGTGGATCCTGATCTCCATCCCAGAAGGAGTTGAGATGGAGATGAAGCTGTCTTAGAAGAAATCAAGTGGAAATGTCCATAACAGAATTCTATACTAGCTCTCACCTTCTCACCATAATCTTTTAGAGAGAAGGGCCAAAAGGAGCCCTGGAACCCATGTCTGCTGGGGGCGGGGTGGGACTAAGAGATGGGGGAGGGTGAGTAAAGAGCAGAGAGTGGGGTCTGCTTATAAAGTGCAGTGCACGGGCTCAGTTCCCTTCTGCTCTTGGCTGTGGAGGTGTCTGCTGCTGCAACAAGGAGTCAGGGGTGTGCCAAATGGCAAGAGAGACCAGCCGGAGCCAGGAGCGGGATCAGGGATGCCCACGCATGTCACCATCAATCCATGACACACATTACTGAGGCCTGGGTCAGCAGAAAAAACCTAGAGGGATATTTTTATTCAGTAGTACAAGGCCAAGTGTGTCAGGAGTCACCATGGCAGACACCTTGTTGATCAAAAAGGCCAGAGTCCAGTCTACCTAGAAACTCCTGGGGTGAGCTCCACTAATGAGCCCCAGGTGAGCCTTCCAGGGGTGAACTCCACTAATGAACCCCAGGTGAGCCTTCCAGGGGTGAACTCCACTAATGAACCCCAGGTGAGCCTTCCAGGGGTGAGCTCCACTCATGAACTCCAGGTGAACCTATCTGGGAGGAGTTCTACAGTGTCAATGGAGAGCAATTTTCTGGACCCTGATATTCTGACATGGGCAGAACCCATAATAAGTTAGCCCTTCTGCCTTCAGAGTACAAACTGAAGTATTAGAAAAAACAGACATCATTTTTCCATGGGGAAATGGACACGGTGGAGGGCAGAGAAGATGAACCAAGGAGTTTTCGGTGGCCAGGGTCCCAAGGGAGGTCTGATGAGCCAGGTCCCAAAACACCAAGTGAGGAATTACATTGAGAGGTAGTCTGAGAACTGCAGTCAGTTCCACACTGGCCATCCATCGAGACATCCCAGCCAAGCAGCTGCACAGACCCTCCTGTCTGAAGGTTACAAGGAGTGCCCTTTCTTAAGATGCCTGCTTTACATCTGCCAGGAACTTGTCACAACATGCTGATTTGGTTAGAACCAGAAATTTCACTGCCACCTGCTTGAAAACTGTCATAACAGATTCATGTGTTTACAATGTCAGCAGTCGGAGAGATGGGCTTGTGCCAGGGCAGAGGCACTCAGCAAATGCTTTGAAACCGCCTTTAGTAGAGGGCTGTGATAGATGCCAAGTCCTGCATCGGGTCAGGTATGGCACAAGAAGCTGGGCTTCCTATGTAAGCTCAAGGTTCAGAGGAGGCTGAATGGGCTCCGGTTCTACTGCTCTTTGTAATCTAATCTGTAGACTTGTCCCTTCAAAGGAACTCTGCCACATAGCCAATAGGCATGTGCAACATTCAATTAAGCCAAGAGAGATATTTAAAGAGAGAATAGTTGCTTGGACTTGTTTGCAGAATTCGGCAAAAAAAATCTGAGAGAAAATAGAGGCTCCAGGAGCAGAATTAATAAAGCATGAGGAGGCATGGAGTTCTCTCTGATGCCAACTAACATGTTTACTAAAGGAACAATCAATTTCTATGACTCTCTGCAGTTTCCAAATCCTTTAATATTGACTACAGTGTTTCATTCATAGAATACTTCTCTAGGAAAGATGGAGCGTGTTCCTTAGTTTTCAAATGAAGAAATTAAGAGGCATTTCTGTGTGGCCAATGCTGGGTGTTTATCAGTTCATAAACAAGAGCTCAATGACCTCCATGAAGTTTCTGGCTTTAGTAATGCAAGCCACGGGGCATAGGGAAGTGCCAAAGAACAGTCTTTTGATGGAAAACAAAGAAACCCAAAATGAATGAACAAAGCTAGAAATAAAATCATTGCTTTGGTGAAATGACACAGTTGATTAGGTTGACCTCACCGAGGACAACTTGGGGTGCAGCGAGATGTCAGTAAGCATCCAGCACAGCCCCACATTAGCACGGTGTTGGAGTAAGCTGCAGTGAGGTGGAGGAGGTCACAGGGTAGCACATGGAGTGAGCCCCACCTGTCATGCAGAAGAAGGAACACATGCTTTAGAGGGGAGGCCTGAGCTAGTCAACTGGGAGAATGTGGACCCCTCTGTTCCATCTCCCTGGGCCTTAACTGACCCAGCTGTTAAGTGGGGCAAATGCTGTCTACTTTAGTAATTCATGTGAAACACAACATGCATTGTCCTGGAAAATATTGACAATGCAATAAAGCGAGCATGGTGGCTGCCCAGCTTCTGAGAACTTGGCCATTGGCATTATACAGCTCAGCAGGATACACTGTGTGTCCCATAGTGCTACCTGGGGTTCAGGAGCAGAGAAGCATAGAGAACTGACCACCCAACTGCTGTGCACCTGGCCTCATTCTTCAGCACTGTTTCCCGAATTCATTCACTCATTCATTCATTCATTCACTCATTCACTCATTCATTCACTCATTCATTCATCCATCCATTGAACAATTGGGGTATTGGAATTCACACACGGTCCCACTCACTGTAACAGATATCACTGATGCTGAAAGGGATCTCCAGCTATTTTCTCTTTCCAGGCACCACATTCCTTTTGAAGCTGGGCTTCATCGGTTGCCTTGCTTTGAACAATGCAATATGAATAAAGATGGTAAAGTGTGACTGATGGACAAAATAATATAAGAGTCTCTGCCCACACTCTCTTCTTTTGTCATAGTAGACCTCAGAGCCTGTGTTTGTGATATAGCACGACAGGTAAAGTCTCAACTGTCAACAAGGTCCTTGAACATAACCTCTTGACAGTCCACATTAGTTTTAGAACACAGGAGAGAAAGAAAACTGATATATATTTGGGGGCTATTTGTTACTGTACCATACTCACACTTGGCTGACGAATACATCAACTCTGTTTTTCATTTATATAGTATGGTTTAAAAAGTATTTCAGAAAATATGAAATTTCTTTAGGGGCTTGGAGATAACCAGGAACAAAATCAAGTAGAAGGAGGGGTACAGACAAATTTATAGACACACATCTCAGTTAACACACACTAAAAGGAAAATAAAGCCAGTTAAGAGGCTTGGGAAGATATTCTGTATGCAATAAGTAGAGAAGATGACAATGGCACAGATATCGGGAGAAAGTAAAGGAGACAACTGTCCAGCTACCTGGAGATTCTTCACAGAGTAAACAATGAACACAAAGGGCTGAGGTCAACATAAGGCTGCATGCAGCAGTGTGGAATGCACACCAGAATGGCTGGGTTTGGGCAGAAAGCAAGAAGATGAAAGATGAGGTCACAATCAAAAGTCTTGGCCCTCATGGAAGATACAGCACATATCTAGAATACAGAAAGAACTTTTACAGGTCAGTAAGACAAGGACATCAAATTTCCAAAAGCAGGCAAAAGATTATTCGAATGAGCAATTTGCAAAAAAACAGGTATTTAAATTGCCAATAAAACCAATACAATTTTCAGATCCTATTATTCCTCAGGAAAATGAGATTTCAAACCCAAATAAGGCAGCAGTGTACATTCCAAGAATAGCTAAAAAGCCTGAAAAACACGCAGTGTTTAGGAGAACATGAAGTAATCACAACCCTCACCTTTTGTAGGAGTGAAACACAAGCACACTCTGTGGTTCTCCCAATAAAACCCAACACCCTATCAACCAGACACTGTATTTCTAGCCCCGTGCATGTAGCCCAAAGCTGCACAAGGCAGGAGTAGACACCAACCGAAAGCAGAGCAACCAACTGTGTTTTGTTCCCACAGCAAAACCCTCACAGCAGCACGAAGCACGGGGCATTAATGGAAGAAGGCAAGCTCCCGCACACACACCCAATTATGTGCAATGATGTTTACCTCAGGAAAAACGGTGTTCTCCCTCCTTAAGATCTGGGCATTCGCTGAGTAAACTGTGAGTCCATTATTGAAAGGGGAAGAAGAGGACAGAGGGAGGGATGGGGTTGGGAGAGATATTTTGTCAAATTAGAGAGGGGAGCTTGTTCTAAAAAGGATAATGAGCCTTCTTCTGGATGGGATGTTCTTAGGGCAGGGGTGTGGTAAGACTGCGCTCAGGGAAGGACAGTTCTGTCTGTGCAGACACTAGTAGTATCCAAGTGGGTTGGGTGTAAGCAGAATGCTTGAAAGAGCTGAAGGTGACCTCTTCCAGGAGGTGAGAGAACAGAGGTCAGATTTTGGGTGAACTGCTGCAACTCCAGAAGGCAGGACTGAGGAGGCGGGGCATCTAGTAGAAGGGGCCAAACTAAAGGCACACTTTGGTGGAAGGTAACTACCAGTTTCTAGCATAGGAAGGACCAAAGGAGGGGCAGCCTGGGGATGAGGGGACCAAGAATTTCATTTTAAATATAATTTTGAGGCACCTGTTAACCTACCAATGAAATATCGAACTATTGACTAATTGAATTTGGATTAATAAGTGGCAAATATCCCATAATCCCAACATGTGTGTGTACATGTGTGTGTGTACACACATGTGTGTTGGGAAACATTCAAACTCCTCCCTACCCCTTGTGCTGATGTGCAGAGCATCAGACGTTCTCCTCCTACCCGGCTGCGTCGCATGAGAAAGCAAATTTGAAGGGTTCCTTTAATCAGTTTCACTTGCCGGTACTGCTCCCAGAATCGTTGGCTTGAGCATGCATGCGGCTAGCCTGGAAAACAGCCAGATTTGAAAGGCAGATTGGCTTGCTCAATTTGTAACGGCACCTTGTTCAGATCTTCTTGGTGCCCTGGTGTCACCTGGGCTGTCACAACATGGGCCACCCTCCTGCATGCCCTCGCTAACACCTCTGTGACTCTGCTATACCACCACCGGTGAATGGGGTGCCCGGCCAGGCCTGCGGTACTGGGACTGGCAGGACAGATAGCCTCGGTGCCCTGCGTTGAATAAACTCATCATTAGAGAACCTCCGCAGATATGCACAGGAGGGGCAAAATGTCATTTTGGTAAAGGCCTCAATTAACGAGAAGAAAAGGCTTAGTGAAACATTAAACATTCCAGTTTCAGGCCTGTAGGAGCTGTCATACCGAGCAGTAGAGTCACCCGGGGCCTGATTTTCCACGACGGCTTTGCCTCTTGCGAGCTGCTGTGATATCTCAGGAGTTGATTGTTATTCCTGAGCGCTTGTTTCTGCACTTGTCCGTTGGCCTGAATCGAAGGAAATGTAAATGGATCCTTCCAGGATGCGGGGTTATAGGAAACATCCCGAAAATTCTTTGCGTCTTTTCCTACCCCAGGGCACGGGAATGTTACTGTGTCCTGTTAATATGACGAATCATCTTTTCTGTTCGATTTTCACTGCTCCTCACCTTGGGACCATGGCAGCACAGCCAGAGTGTCTGCTGAGGCACACCTTACCCACTGCAGCCTAGGCCTCTACTCTGGTTCTGCATTGACCCTGGGCAGCCACATGGGGGCAGCACGTCACCAGGTTGCAACTTCATGTTCCGGAATTGGCTCAGGAAACCCGACCAAGATTCATTCCTGTGGGATCCTTAAACTGGGGCACCCAGTGATGCCAGAGGACTGTGAAGTCCCAACCAAGAGACCTCTTCCAGGGAACCTTCCAGGTCTTCCGAAAGCAAAACTGACCCTGCAATTCATCTTATCTATGTTAGGTCCCAAACACAGGACAAAGGACTAACTGGGGTGCCTGTTCTTTTGTCAGGCACTCAGCATCGCCACACCTGTCACGGAGACATCCTGGTTGGCATACCTGGTTCCCTACCGTTAAGTCTCTAGCCCAGGGCCTGGGCTGGGACCCCACCCCAGCCTCTTTTGCCTTGGCTGTGCCTTTCTCGTGGTTCATGCCTAACTTCTTGCCCCCTGGGTCCTCTCGATCTCTTCCCTCCTCTCTCCTCACACGGCCAGTTCTGTCTGATGGTCAAGTAAACTCTAGACTCTCCCAGGCGCCTCTGCCTGTGCTCTCGCTTCTATCTATAATAAAAACTGCAATTCCTCAGGAGCAGTCATGTACTCCTTGTATTTCTTCCCCCATCCCCAGTCAATCTGTAGGAGAGAAAGGCTATGTTCCAGACATTATCATTTGTAATTTTTTGCTTTTTAGGAACCCAGAACTACCAGATGAGAAACTTGCCTTCTTGAGAGATACCTTGAGAAGGTTATGTAGAAATGGAGGGAGAAGCAAGTGAGGGGAGGAGGAAGTGGGAAGAGAGAGGAGAAAGGAGGAGAGGGGCAGGGAGAAGAGGAGAAACGGTGAAGGGGAGACTCAGATGCCCAGCACCCCAGTGCCCAGCATCCCAAAGACAAGCACCCCAATGCCCAGCATCCCAAAGACAAGCACCCCAGTGCCCAGCATCCCAAAGACAAGCACCCCAGTGCCCGGCACCCCAAAGACAAGCACCCCAGTGCCCGGCATCCCAATAGCTTTTCGGTCACAGCGGCCAGAGAGACCCAAGCAAACCTGGCTGAAGAGCTGCCCAGCTGAGCCCAGTCAACTCACACGATAAGCAGAGAGAATGGCCACTTTATTGTAGCAGTAAGATGGTAAACAGGCACAGGTGGCTTGCATTTTAGTTACTTGGGTTACTCTCTGATGTCTTGAAGGGGCAAGCAGAAAGCCCCTCAGTTGAAAAGCTCTCAGAAAGTTTAACCTGCAATCCAGGTCCACGAGCTTGGTAGGGGAGCCCTGGACCAAACTTAAGCCAAGACATCCCCGCCCCATTTCATCATGATTAAATGAGAGAAATCCAAGTGGGAAGTCACTTGTTAATAGTCAAAATTATTAGGAAAGGTGGGACTAACTCATGAGCCCACTGCAGATGACCTCGGGGCAGGGGGGCAGGAAGAAGGCCCAGAGACATCTGGGCTGTGTGCATCTTATAGGGCACACACAATTTTGGCAGAATAAGTCAATAGCATTATGTGTTGCGCTTGCCTGCCTGCTACTAATTGAAAAATTGCTCTGATTCATAAATGCAAATTTATTTAAAAGAATCACTGACTCTCCTAGGAGCTTTTTGTCATTGTGTATTCTCTCAAACAATGAACACCAGCAGGAACTCCACAGGCAAACCTATAAGGAATTTCACACTCATAAACAGGCCTCTGGCTCAAAAATAGTTGTAACCCTTCATGCGATTGAACTCAATTTTATTAATGAAGAAACTGCAGCTGGGAAAGGAGGGGGCTCACGGGTGGTTGCTAAGTTTCCTAAAGAATGTAGATTCAGATGTCTCAGGCTTGAAGATGAAGTGCACAATCTCACAGCTGTATGCAGAGACTTCCAGGAGACACAACATGCCTCTAAGGTCTGCTTATAAACAAGTAACTATGAACTGAAATGGCCATAAATGGTTTGTTTGGGGGGGTTGTGTATTTATCGTTTGTGTAAACAAGATCTCATATAGTGCAAGATGTCCTCACCCTCACTACATAATAGAGGATGACTTGGAAGTCCTGACTCTCCTGCCATCCCCTTCCCCACAGTGCTGAGATTACAGACAAGCATTCCCACATTGGTTTTGTGGGGTGCTGGAGATGCAACCCAGAGTTTCATGGGTGCTAGGGAAACACTGACTAAGATGTACTACACCTGCAGCCCAATTTGTTTTAAAATACTGATGTCTAGGGACTTTCAGCTTAGGCTTTCTCCGTACTAAGACTTCCTTCTTCAAGATAAAGCACGCGTCAGGATTCTGTAGGTCTGCCAACCCCTGTCCCTATTTGCCCAGTCATTAGCAAATATTTATGGAGCATGAAGGAGTTTGGAAAATGCCACTCCCAACTGTGGCTACGCGGTATGCTAGTGACTTTGAGCTGAGGGCATTTGGAGAGCCTTCAGATGCAGGTAATGACTCTCTTCAAGCTCCATCTGTCTGCCTAAAGACATCCTTCTGGGGAGCTCAGTTGTTAGGAATCTGTTCCCCAAGACTCTTATCAACCAGAGACTGGAGGTTAATGCCAAGCACAACTTTTCCCCAGGGGGACAACTGGAAGACTTGGAACCTTCTATCTGCACAACAAATAGTCTTCACAAACCAGACATTTCCTCCCTACATCCCTCATAACTTGTACTGACACTGCCTCCTCTCCAGAAGCCCAAGCCCTCCCGCATTCCTTTTCACGGTTCAGAACCCTGCATGTGTGACCTACCACGTACTGCGTACAACCTCAGGACCTTGCTTCACATCCCACATTTTGTGGGACCACCATGCTTGCACACATTATTGAGAAGTTTGTTTTCCTCCTGATCACTTGTGCCGTGTCAATTTAATGTGCTTCACGGTCAAAGAACTAAAATGAAAGAAAGGAGTCATGTTCACTCCCTGGCTGGCATCTACTGAGGCATCGTTTTGTTGGCAGTCTTTTTCCACTGTGGGCCTACAGGCTAGTTAGAAAGAAGGTAAATTTCTTCGTTAGGATTTCCATTGATGCCATGAAACACCGTGACCGAAAAGCAAGTTGGAGAGGAAAGGATTTTTTGGCTTATACTTCCAGGTTGCTATATACCACTGAAGGGAGTAAGGACAAGAACTCAAAACAGAGCAGGATCCTGGAGGCAGGAGCTGATGCAGAGGCCATGGAGGGTTGCTGCTTTCAGCCTGCTTTCCATAGAACCCAGGACCACCAGTCCAGAGATGGCACCACCCACAATGGACTGGGCCTTCCCCATTGATCACTAAATGAGAAAATGCCCTGCATCTGGATCTCATGGAGGCATTTCCTCAACCGAGGCTCCTTCCTCTCTGATGACTCTACCATGTGTCAAGTTGACACGCAAAACCAGTCAACACAGTAAACTAACAGAAAGTTAGGGTGTAGTGAGTGATGGCTCTGTGTGGGTGCACGTGTGCTCTGCCCGGGTGCTCTGAGGTCCCCGATGCCTAATCAGCCATCCAGTCCCTTCTTCAGCAGCATTTGTAGCAGCTGACATACAGCCACAGCAGTCAGAGACTCACCCCTAGGCTCCTGGCACTGTCCCTCAAAAGATGCAACACCAATTCCATGTGGAGCAGACACCCAACATCATTGACCTGCCCCCAGGTGGGGCAACATCTGCAGTGTAACTGACACCCCGGAGGTCTCTGCTGAACCTGGCTGAGACTGCTTTGGGCTCATCCTGTCCCTCAGCCTTCTCCTTTAAGGGTGGGCCCCTGTGACTGTGTTTAACAGCAGAGGAAAAGCATAATACATGAGCATCGCACTCCCTCTTACAGGTAGCACACTGTTGGGGCATCCTTTCTCCTCACAGTTATTTATCTGCCTGACCTTTCCTTGGAGACCTTATCACAGAACGAAATTGGTTTCCCCTCTGGGTGTACTATGATTTAGACTCCGGACCCACAAACTGTGACGGGGTCTGTCTGCAGAGTGTGGTATGTCTGGCTGCTAAGGAGAGTCCAGTGTGCAGACGAGCATCTATCTGTAAAAGGAGTGAGAGGCATGAGTGATGGCTGTGGAGGTGTGAGTTAGGGAGGGAAGGCATCCTGGCAGCTGGGTCCCACTGAGCTGGGAAGTTGCAGGGCGAACAGTGAGGGAGTGAGCTTTGTGCAGGAGGATGTGGGGGGTCTGCAAAGCAGCTTGGGGCCTCCGATCATAGATGCATCAGGATTTCTGAAGGTGACTCCCAAAATGGGATTTCCACTAGTGGGGTACAAATCTGCATCCCAGAGCCCTGAGACTTTGCAGTGCCTCCAACACCAACAGTGTAATTAAATTACACAAATTCAGTTTCATTTACCCAACTCTAGAAAAGTTACAGACAGGAAGATGACAATGTGTGTTCAGTGAGGTTCTACACCTTTCCACGTGGTCTTTGCCGTGAGATGAGACAATGAAGCCTCCCTTTTGGTGGGTGGGATCGAACAGCTTGCAAGTCAAGGAGTCAAGTCAGCACCAGGAAGAATGCCTTCGGGTTGGTACTAGATGCTTCTGTGATGTTGGAGCAGTTTTACAGGAAAGTAAACTGAGGCTCCAAGGGGTTAAGAAAGTTGACCCCAATTATGTGGCTGGTTCTGTTCTAGAAACATCATTTCGTGCCTCCTGTGTCCCTGCTGGCAAAGGATAGTAATGGGCGTCAACAAAGCCTGTGAGCTTTCGCATGTCACTGCCTCACTCTAGTAAGAAACTAGGACATTCCATTTTAACTATTTTATTATATTAAGGGACATTCAGTATTTTCGGGTGATTAATAAATATTTAAATACAGGCCCAGTAGGGACAGAGTCTGTGAGTTCAAAAGAATGACTTCCAATTAGTGCCTGTATAGTTTACCTGTGAATGAATGACTTCTGAAAAACTCTGTTTAAAAAAAGAAGATCCTCTTGCTTTGTTTGATAGGCTAAATATTTCTTTTGAAACTGCATCTGTTCTATTAATTTACTTAATAGACTTCTGACTTTGATTTCCAGGAGAGACAAGGCTCCAGGGACCTCAGATCTCAAATTCTTGCTATGACAGTGAGGTCTCATTAATGAGGACTAATTGTTGGAGGATGAGGCTGAGTTACTGAAAAGTCAGAACGGAAAATCTGCCTCACCGCTCTGTCATATAGATGCCATCCCATAATTCAAACCGGCTCGCAGAACTCATCCATCCATCTCTACATGCAGCAGATCCTGGCTTTCAGGAATAGATGTGCAGGATCTAAAATTATCTTATTAACTATTTGAATGTAAATGAATGATTTAAAAATGCTGGCGGGGACTGGAAGAAATGAGTCCTAAATGCTGGGAACATTGGTCCCTCAATCTCTCTTACCTTGTTAATTTGTTTCGCAAACATTTTGTGGAGCTGCTGCAAGGGAGATCTTACATGGGCTTGTCCTGAGCTCTGGAGGGTTGGAACTCAGTTGTCCCATTCCCTGGTTCATCTTTACCCTTTCTCTTTTTGAATCACTGATTGTGACTCTGTTCAGCATCCCGTTTCTGTCGGGTTATTGGAGATAACTTAATAAATGGGGACCAAATATCAGAGCTGAAAAACATGCTCTACTCTACCCATCTTCTGTTTCCTTTCAGGGGGAATTTGACGTGCTTTCTTAGCCATGAAAGGGACCCAGCTCTTTTGTGAACAGGGTTTCTTCATGGTACCCATGGCAACAATCCCAGGATCTTAGTCTGCATCATCCATCCAGACATACTGGTTCATGCCCATCGCCCCTCTTTCTGTGCTTTCATTGCCCATCTCAAGGGGGGTGAGAGACAAGACCCTCACTCTGAAACAACAAATTCAAGACACTAGAAAAAGAAAAATAGTTCTTGTTTTTTGATCCAAAAGAAACAGATGTCAACCTAGCAAGAATGGCTGGTGTCCTGATCTGTCCCTAAACAGTGATTTTTAAAGTCCCTGATCATTAAACATTCCTGTCTTCTTCCATACACTGTTACTCCAGAGAGTTACAATCTTCACATTTATCTGGCATAGCCCGCACCACAAATACCCCATCTGATTGGTTCAGGACACGGAGGTATCTAATTTATATCCCGGGGCATGAAATCCCCTCCTCTTCATATTCTGAGCTCAGTCACACAGC